CAACTCTGAGACTTGCTGGGGCTCACATACTCCCTCTTAGCTGACAACCCAGAGAGCAGGGCTATGTTGCTGGGGGTGTTGAGGATGTGTGGGCTCATCCGTGGCCTGATAACCGTAGCTGTCCCTGCCATGGGCTGTGTCCCCAAGGCCCTGTGAGTGGGGGTGGGAGCAGGTTGGTCCCTGGAACTAGGAGACCTCTGCCGGGGTCTCAGATGAGGCTATGACATTGTCCCTCCTCTTCCTTGCTCCACCACCTCATTTGTGCAACGGGCACAGTCACCCACAGCTGCTTTCATCAGACCTTGCCCATCCAGCCAACAAACTCATGGAGTTGGGGCCTTCTCAGCTGTCCTGTGGGGTTAGGCCTGCATCCCTGTCCCGAGGAGTAGATCAGGGAAAGTTTGGGGATGGAGGAGGGGAGCAGTGACTGGAGAGGGCGAGGGAGAGTTAGGGAACCGGTCATGAGCAATGGGGGAGAAGTCATAGTTGATGGGGGTCATGAATTTGGGGGCATCAAAGATGGGGAGGAGCTCAGAGAGCAAGGGAATGGGCTCAAATGAGATCAAGGGGAAGGGAAATATCCCCTAAGGCGGGTGATCAGGAGGACATCTGAGAGGGAGGAAAATGGAGACCAGATTCTGGGTGGGTGTGGCGGGCATCATGGAAATGAGGCCTCTTGAAGGGAGGCCAGGAGACGTTTCCTAATTTGGGATACCAGACCAACCAGGGAAATCCACATAATGCCAGTTCACAAGAAGACAGAATAGCGGAACACTATTGCTTTGACCCCACGCCCGGAAAAGTGCAAAGAGCAAAATTTACCCAATCAGTTACAGGGCGTGTAATGAAGGTCATCACAATTTCCATGCACACAGCATTTTAAGCAACTTTGGGGAAATACTTCCTTTTTTTTTTTTTTGAGTTGGAGTCCCACACTGTCGCCCAGACTGGACTGCAGTGGCATGCTCCCGGCCACCACAGCCTCAATCTGCTGGGCTCTGGCGGTCCTTCTGCCTCAGCCTTCCAAGTAGCTGGAACTACAGGCGCACGTACCACACCCGGCTAATTTTTTGATTTATTGTAGAGATGAGGGCTTGCCAAGTTGCCCAGGCGGGTCTTGAACCCTCAGGCTCAGGCAATCCACTTGCCTCAGCCTCCCAGAGCGCTGGGATTACAGGCTGAGCCACTGAGCCTGGCTGGGGAAATACTTTCAGGTGTTTTTGGTTTTTTGTTTTTTTTTCAATCTCAAGTCACTCCCTCCAAAAGATAGTGGAAATAAATTTGAATAAACAAAACAGGTTTGCTGAAAATAAAACCAGGACTCCTAACCTGCTCCAGTCAGCCTGCTTCCACAAGGAGGGCTGTCTCGGTCGGTGCTGCACCTGTGGCTGAGTGAGGAGCATCTGGCATGTACTTGGTGAGTGTGCTCAGAGGCTTGGCAGAGGGCTGTGTAGAGAGGGAAAGGAGCGGAGATGTTGCTGAAGGTGGAGGAAGGCTGGGCTCCCGGGTCTGAGGCTGGGGGCAGGTGGAGCTAGAACCTGGGTGGAGCTAGATCTCAGGGTGCAGCAAGGGGAGCTCACCATGGGGGAGGGGGACCCAGATGAGGTGAGAGTGGTTCTGTCACCGGCTTTTTCCTACAGGTGGTTGCATTTTTGGCGATGGTCATTGGAAAGCACACCTACAGTCTGCGGCTCCAGAGGGACTGCAGCCACTGGCAGGACCCCCCTGAGGAGTGGCTGAAGTGGAATACTGTGTCCATGCCACCCCCAGAGTTGGCTAGCTTCACCCAGCACCCAGAATCCTGCAAGGCCAGTGAAGATGGACCCCTCAACAGCAGGGCTATCTCCCCATGGAGATATGAGTGAGTCTGCTGCCCTTCCTGAATGCCTGCACGTGCCACCACTCCCCACGTGTGTGGTCAGGGTACATGGGAGGGACCAGGGCAGTTCTCCCTTCCTCTTTTGATCTCAGAGAGGCTGTAAATGTTTGGTAGTTAGATAAGGCCTAGCTCTGATTCTCATCAGTTGACCTTGAGCCAGTTACTCAAGTTTTTAAAACTCATTTTTTTTTTTGTCATCTGTAAAATTATCTAACACCCCATAGGCTAATATGCAGATCAAATGAAATGATATGTATTAAAGTCTGTACCTGTATTGGTTCTTTCCTTTTCTTTTTAAAAATCCCTATAATGGTCCATGTCTTTCTAACTGAAATATCAAGGAATAATGGCACGATACAGGCATGAAGCATCCCAATATCAAATTCATGGGGGCTATGAATGGGTTGCAAGTATACTAGGACAAGGAAACCCTCAACTCTTGGGGCAGCTAGACTTTGATTACGATCATGGTTATTATATTCTTTTGTTCAGGGGGCCACACAAATTTTATAATTCTCTACTTACACCATGCTGTGAAAAATATTGGGATGCACTGAAATAGGGACAATGGAGCAAAATATTAAAAATTAGGGCTTTAGGGATCCCAAACTTATTTCTGCTTCTATCTCATGTCCTCACTGGGTGTCTGTGTTCCCATTCCCCCATAAGTCTAGTTCTGACTTAGTCTTGGCTTTGGGGAAGGGGGCCAGCTTTAATTGAAATTAGATCCAAAATGGACACTACAGGGCATGATCTTTTGGAGTGGTCTCCAAAGGCTGGCTGGGTCCTGGGCCAAATTCAATGGTGTAGGAACCTCTGGTTGGGTGCCCAGTGGTTGACTCAGTTGCAGTTCAGACCCCTCGCTGGGAGGCCATGAACCCTTAATAAACACTCAACTGGTTTTCCCCAAAATGTGTCCTGTGCCATCCTCATCCTACAAACTGCTCTTCAGAAGAAAAGTGATGTTGTCAAGTAAGTTTGGTAAAGGCTCTTTGAACCCCTACTCCTTGGACACTCATAATGCCTTTTGTACATTAAAGTCTGCAAGAAGTTTGTGGAAAAGAAACCGTTAAATTCAGTGTTTCCTAAACTCATTTGGCCACCCAACCCTTTTCTTGGGATTTATTAGGGAACTCACTTTGGGAAATGCTGTGTTAGCTGAACCCCCGTTTGCCACGTCTTGTCTCTGTGGGGAATAGTCCTACAACTTGGGGACCGTTTCCTGCTAGATTACTGGTGTCTCAGACCTTTGGAGCATCTACTTTTCGAGTCCATTTTTGGCCACAAAATCTTTTCAGAATACATAAAGAAATCTTCCCGTGCATTCTTAGGTGTGCTTATAATATATGCTTGGATAGCATCTGGAAGGATGTGCAGGAAAGGTTGACCATGGCTCCTTCCAGAGACTGGGACTGGTCAGGACTATTAGTTTTGGATATCAGAGCAGTTTTTACTTTTGCAATAATGCGATAATAATAATAAACCTAAATTATATCTCATTATTGCAATAATGTGATAATAATAATTGACCTCATTACCTAAAGTGTAATAATTACAATAAGAAACTTCATGCTAGAGCCCAGTGTACGCGTCAGACTGAAGGGCCCCAGGATCAGTTGGAAAGCCACTCTTTCACCCCTTGCCCTCATTTATAGTTGGGAAAATTAATATCCAAAGTTACACAGCAAGTGGGTGCAGAGCTGAGACAAGAGGCTGGCCCTCCTCCTCCCTCGCTGCAGAGTTTCCTTCCTCCAGCACTCCCACTCTGCCCTGCCCTCTCTGTTTCTGGCCCATCCCTCTAGGGCCTGACAAGTGTTGCCCTCACAGGTTGGACAGGGACTTGAACCGGCTCCCCCAGGACCTGTACCACGCCCGCTGCCTGTGCCCACACTGTGTCAGCCTGCAGACGGGCTCCCACATGGATCCCCTGGGCAACTCGGAGCTGCTCTACCACAACCAGACCGTCTTCTACCGGCGCCCATGCCACCGTGAGCAGGGTGCCCACAAGGGCTACTGCCTGGAGCGCAGGCTCTACCGTGTCTCCTTGGCTTGTGTGTGTGTGCGTCCCCGTATGATGGCCTAGTTGTGCCCACCGGAGGCCGGCCCATTGTCGGGAAAACTAGACTTAGGTGTGCAACCACCTGCCACGATGGGCAGGGACACCCTGATGCTTGGTTCCTGCACAGCGCCGCCTGGAGCACCAGAAGCCTGGACAGGACGGGGGCTTAGGTGGAAAGCCGCACTTCTGCACTTTTTGGAAGCACTTTTTGAACGGAGCGGCTGCTGCTTGGGGCTGCTGGAAGCTGGTGTCCTGGCATTTGCTCTCAGGAAAAGTCTTCAAAGTTCTGCACGCTTCTGAAGGTCACCACTCCTATCTCTTCCTCTCCTCCCATCTCCTGCCGCCCTGGCCCAGCACAGGCACTTTCTGGTTACTTCCCTCTTGCTAGCAGAGAGCTCCTCATTTGAGGTGTATGTTTGATCATTCATTCATCAGCCACTCAGTGAGCATCAACTTTGGACGTGTTCTGGTGTACTTACTAGTCTTTCGACACGGATGATTCTGAGGAGGAAGCTGTTATTGCACATGGAGAGATTTATCCAAATAAATATCTGCATTTAAAAATGGCCTAATCTGTCTTTGGCATCTGTGGTGCCTGAACGTCCTGTGGTCTGCCAGACTGTCCCACCACCAGCCCTCACCTTCTGCCCACCCTGCCAGCTCTTTCCCATTCCTTCCCCTCTGTGACTCCCGGGCCCACCCCCAGACACCGGGGTGGGGGGCTAGGCCGCGCTCCCAGCATGCGGGAGAGACAGAGGCCCATTGAGGCACTGCAGCAGGCACACAGCGCCCCCTTGTCCCCCAACAATCCGCCTTTGTCCTCTGGTCCTGGCTGCTGCAGCTTGGTGTGTGTGTGGGGGGGCGCTGCCTGGGCCAGGCTCCAGCTCCCACCCTCCCCAAGAGTAAAAGGGAGAAAGAACCAGCCGAGGAAGACGGTTAAGGTTAGAGGAGGGGGACACAGACTTCTTCAGGCTTAGGTCCCTGGGGGCTCCTAGTCCTGTCCCATTCCTTGGCTCATCTCCCAGCTCCTCCTAGTTTCTTTCTGGCCCTCCTCCTCTCCCCCTTCCTTTTCCCCTTCTCCAGGCTGGGTTGGACTCCGAATAAGGGGAGGGGTTAGCGCCTCCTCCCCTCCTCATGTGCCTCCTGGGGGGGCCGGTGCCGGCAGCCGCAGAGACACTCCGGGCAGCTGGGTGAAGGCCCATCTGGGCAAGGCCCCCAGCGGCCGCCTTCCCCTGGGGCCCTGTGGGCAGGTCTCCCGCTTCACTTTCAGGTTTCTCGAGGTGTCTTCCTGCTCCTGTCTGTTTCCCCATCCTGCCAGGTTTCTGTTTCTCTTCTGGGCTAGCGGCAGTGGGTGGCTGTGCCGGGAGGCCCCACAGAGATGCTCAGTGCTCGGGATCGCCAGGACCGGCCCCCTGAGGAGGGGGCAGCTGCAGTGCTCCAGGGCTTCGCCGTGGACAAGACCTTCTTCTCCTCCCTCAAAGGCATCCTGCTGGAAACTGAGCTGGTAACAGCTGCCTTCCCAACCTGGGTGCTTCCATCTCACCCAACCCTGGCTCCCCACTAGCCCTGTTCTGGTCCCTCAGGCTCACCCCTTAGCAGCCTCCCTCCCCAGGCTCTCTGGACCCCTTTCCTGCCCCCAGCTGCCCCTTCCTCGTGTGCTACTCTGCCTTCTTGTTGCCCCTCCAGCTGGAGAGTGGTTTTCAGTGACAGTAGTTTTCAGTTGCAGCAGGAAGGTTCGAAGTCAGACAGGACCGCTTTCTGAGACATTAAGGGGAATGTGAGACGTAGGCATGGGATGGGAGTAATGTAGGCCTGTCTTTCCCTGGCCTCTAAGATGACTTCTTGGCATATCCGGGAAGTCAAAAAGGCCAGACCTCCTGTAGCCGCACTTCATCTGTTGTCTGCTGCCCAGGGACATCTCTTCTCAGGAAAGGGTCATCTCCGGGCCACTGAGCAAGACCACAGTGTAAACTTAAGGGCCCTGTGTATCTGTCACCCTGTGTAGCCAGAGCTGAAGGGACCGCCAGAGTCCACTGGGCAGCCTCTGCCTTCTGAGCCTTCTCTCTTGGTGTGGAATCAAAGGCTCTCGTCCTTGTTGGAGGAGTTTCAGGCATCTGGGAGTGGGGAAAGCATAATGGGGCAGGGGGTACCTCCTGGGGTGCAAGGTCTTGTGGGCACAACTGCTGGGGCTGGCGCTCACATTGTACTCTGTGCTTGAGGGTCAACACTCCGGTGGATTACCGTGGAATAGTGCTCCCGGGAGCTGTGCAGCTTGGCTGGACTCCTGGGGCGGCCGGGATGCCTGTGCGGGCAGAGTGGGAGGCTGCCCTTAGTGGGTAAATGCCCTGCAACGGTGGCTCTTGACACCAGGGATGGGAGATGTGTCAGAGCTATTCCTTCTCTCCAAGGATGGGGGGTGGGTGCCCATCCAGGGGAGCTCTCACAGAGGGAAAGGCAAAGGCCTGGCCTGTGCCTCTGTCACCGCCCTGGCAAGCTCCACTTGCTCGGTCCTGCAGGCCCTGACTTTCATCATCTTCATCTGCTTCACGGCCTCCATCTCCGCCTACATGGCCGCGGCGCTGCTGGAGTTCATCATCACACTCGCCTTCCTCTTCCTTTTTGCCACCCAGTACTATCTGCGCTTCGATCGTCTTAACTGGCCCTGTCTGGTGAGGAACCTGGACCCCCTGCCTTGCTCTGGTTCCTTTCTTCTCCTCTGAATGCTGAGTTTTTCTTTCCTCTCCCAGCTTCCCTTTTCTAACACCTCCCCCCCACCCCCGCTGGGCTTTACCCCATGCTGTGCCCTGCACAGTCCTGTGTGCTTTGACCCACACTAATTTCACAGCTCCAGCACTGACAACAAGGAGGACCACGTCCCTTAGATCTGCTCTCCCACTCACCAGGAGTCCGGGCAAGTGTGCTCCACTTACTGCCCCTCATCCCCCAGGCTCCAGCCACTGCGCCTGGGTCAGCCCCACCCCAGCACCTGGCTTCTGGTGCTGGTTGCTCTGAATTCATCTGCCTTCACTCCCTGGATAGGAGTGTGGGCTCTCTCTCCCTCTGGAACGTGCTTTATATTGTGTCCTCATGTAGGGATTCAAGATGCCTGAGGGTCAGGCCACCGCCTAGTCTGGAAAACCTCAGGGTGATGCCCCCCTGCTTTCTGAGGTCCTTTTAACCCTGTATCCTTGGCCCCCCAGGACTTCCTCCGCTGTGTCAGCGCCATCATCATCTTCCTGGTGGTCTCCTTTGCAGCTGTGACCTCCCGGGATGGAGCTGCCATTGCTGCTTTTGTGAGTTCAGCCCTGCAGGGCTCCTCAGCCCCTCAGGACCTCTGGCTGGGGCTTGCATGCGTTCTGAATCAAAATCCAAGCCAAGGCCTGGAGTTCTGGCTTGTACCTCGCCCTGTGCTACCCACCTTCCTCTCCCTGCATCCAGCGACCTGATGGCCCCTGCTGTGCCATCCCTGTTCCTCCTCTCACAGGTTTTTGGCATCATCCTGGTTTCTGTCTTTGCCTATGATGCCTTCAAGATCTACCGGACTGAGATGGTACCCAGGGCCACCCAGGGTGAGTACCTGTCTTCTGAGAAGAGATGATGCCCCCTTTCCTGCCCTGGCTACCCATCCTGACAAGGTTTCCTTGCCTGGTTCCATCTTCACAGGGGACCAGCAGTGACTCTGGGGCTCTCTGGCTCCCAGACCCAGCCAGACGAAGGGGATAGTGGAACCCAGGCACATCTCCTTCGGAATCACTAGCCTCCCAGCCCACTGTCCCCTACCGAGATGCGTAGCCTGAGAAGTCACTGGGGACTTATTTGTGGAGCCTGGTTCTCTGTGATCTGGTTCCTAATGAAGATCTGGCCAGAGGAGGAGGACTTGTGGGGGGAGGAGGAGGAGGACTTGTGGGGGGAGGAGGAGGAGGACTTGCTAGGGGAGGAGGAGGACTTGCAGGGGGAGGAGGAGAAGGAGGAGGGGAGGGAGAGAAATTGGGCCTCTAAGTCATTCCCAAACTAAAAGATTTGAATCCTGCCAATGAGTCTTTTTTCTTCCCCGGAAATTGGGCAGATCAGTAATGCCAAGGAATTATGAAAATGTTGCCCAGAGCCGGGATCAGGTCTGAGCCATGAGGAGGTGGTGGCTAGCCTGAAGAAGCTGAAGACATTTTCCAACACAAAATGTCCGCATTGCAACTTTGTGTGCAAGGCCCCTTTGTGGTGTGCCTGGTGGCTGGGCACCCAGAGTTCTGTGTCTGCGAAGGCACAAGGTGAGCAAGTGCCCACCCGCGATACCTGTTTGCAAAGGTTAGAGGACTTGAACAGAGGTGCTCACTTTGGGTGTGTGAAGAGCTCCCCCTCGTGGTGTGGGGAGAACTTGGTCTGCAGGCAGCAGGGAGAGGGGCAGCCTGAGGCACCAGGGGGAGAGATTCCCAAAATGCTGATGCTGAAAGAGCTCCTGACTGTCAGCTGGTCCAATGCCCTCATTCCACATAAGAAGAAATTGAGGCCCAGCTAGGGGAAGTGAGCTTTTTATTTGTGACAGAGCTAGGGCTAGACCCCATCTCTCCTGACACTGAAACGGCTAAGCAACCTTATAGCTCAGAAAAAAATGGTCAGCCTCCTCTACAGCTCCTTCTACCTTCCCGACTTGCTAGCTCCTCAGCACCCATTTCCTGAGTATCTCTCAGGCATAGACCGGGTGCTGACACCAGAGACTCAGCGATGTCAGGTGTGCCTACCCTTTGAGCAAACACTCACAGACTTGAAAAGAGACAAACCAGCGAAGGGCTCCCCACCATAGACACTATGAGAGGGTTCAGCTCTGAGGGGGTTTGGAGCAAGCACTGCTGCAGTCTGCTAATCAGCCCTACCAAGCCCTAGACACCCGTGTGTGTCCAGAACACCCCTGCCCAGCTTGAGAAGCCCAGCATGACCTAGCCCAGTGGCTCCATCCCAGCTGACCTGCTGTCCCCTGTCTCTAGTGCATGTGTTCCTGTCCTGAAATAAATCCTCCTTCTTCTGGGTTGCTCCTTCTTGTTGCAGGCCCCGGTTCCCAAGCTCTGCCTGAACCCTGGATCTTGAACTCTGATAGTGGTGCTTTGCTCCCTTGGTGACAACTGCTCTACTCTTGGACTGACTTTTCTTGTCTCCTACCTCCTATTCTCCTATCCTCATGTCCTGGCTTCCCATCAGGGTTGGCAGCCTCTCCTGTCAGATTTTATTTGGTCACTGCCCACAGTTCTTGGGGCTTTATGCACAGTCTATTCTCAAGACTAGTTGAATGACACCGGGGGGGTGGGAGGAGGGTGGCGAGGTCTCAGAGGAGGGATAGAAGATGCTTAGCTGGGGAGTTAGGGAGAGGGGGGGCCAGGTAAAGGGATGAGGAGGCAGTCAGGAAAGCTTGGTTGCAAAGCTCAGTGGGGAGCAGGGATTTGCTCTGCGCAGAATGGGGGCAGGACTAGCCCTGTCCCCTGAGCAGCTGTGTGACCTAGACCAAAATGGCCCTGGTAAGAGCTCAGAGAGAGCAGAAGTGCAATCTGGGGTGTGAACCGCCCATGCACCTGTGCTTGTCTGTATCTGTGTGAGAGCCAACATAAGGCGAGCAGTGCCCAGGTTTGGTCCTCACTGTATATTGGTTTGGGCTCAGTGTCAGCTGGCCCCAGAGCCTCAGGATGCTCTTATGGTGAAGGGCTGACCCCCATAGGTGGGGGTCAGACCCCTGCGGGCGACAGGGAGGGAGATTCCCTGAGGGTTACTTCCAAGGGATGAGTAGAAAGGATCTTCCCCACACCTCCATCCCTAGCCTCTCCTGGCATTGATGAAAAATTCATTTAGGAAAGAATAGGTGTCCCATGACACCTTTAACTTCTGCAGCCTCAGAGGCGGGGTAGGTGGAAAGTGGCTTCAGCTTCAGCACCAAAAGTATATCTCCCATCATCTAGAATGGGCTCACCCTTTTGGTGCCATTGTTTTCCCCACTTTTGAAATGTCCCTGTCTCCTCTCATGTGTGATTGACTGAACAGAACTTGGACTCCTGGCTATGCCTCATGAGAAGGACACCTCACTCTGGGCTTCAGTTCTCTTCTCTACTGAGATGAGATGCCTTGGCTCCTGCAGCTCTGATGCAGGGGCTGGGAGTTCCCGCTCTCAGGCTCCCAACCCTCCCACTCCAGGATGAACAGCTGGTGAGGGACAGAAGGACTCAGGCAGAGTCTGACACTCATATTTATTGTAGCTTAGCCAAAGTGAGGTTCCACAGCCAGCATCACTCTTCATCATGCATTTTTTGCTGAGGAAAGAATAAGAGGTGTGAGGAAGCAGCTGGCAAAAGGGAGGAAGGGTATGGGGATGAGTCCCTAGGGCTTCCAAAGGCTTCCTTGGAGGGAGCGGTTAGGGTCCCAAGGATCTTGAATTCCCATGTCAGAGGTGCTGGGATTTGGGGGGAGGGGGGCTTTCTGCAGATGATCCAGTCTGCGGGGTGCAATTTGAAGTAGGAGAGGAGATTCTCAGGTTATGGGTGTTGTGGGACTCAGGGCTGCCACACATAGGGGGGGCCGTGCCCACTCTGAGGGGCACTCTTGTCAGGAGGCATGCTAATGCAGGGGTGCCTAGCGAAGCTCAGGGAGGGACCCACCTTGGCTCCGATGTCGCGGCTCTTGGCTCGCAGCTTGTTGACCTGGGACTCGGCGATGTCTGCCCGCTCCTCCGCCTCATCCAGCTCGTGCTGTACCTTGCGGAACTTGGACAGGTTGGTGTTGGCCTGCTCCTCCTGCAGGGGGTGGAGGGACGAGATGAGAGGGACTGAGGCGTGAGGATTCCCAGCCTCTTAGCCTGGAAGTCCGGCTCTTTCCTTGAGCCACTCACCCCTCACCCATGTTCCTGCAACAGCCTACCCAAGAGTATCCTGCACCTGGCTGGACACCCTTCTCAAACTTGTCTGGCACTCAGAATCTTTTGTGGTCATCCAATGCCCAAGGTGAATCCAATGCCCAAGGTGAGGCTGCCTCACCTGGGCCACCTCAGAATCTAGTTTCATTGCACCAACCATGACTCAGAGGGAAGCTCTCCGACCCTGGGTTCCTGCTCATCAGCACCCCTTGTACACCAGATGTCGTCCCCATGTCCTGTGCCTAGTTGGATCCTCTTCCAGCCCAATTCTGCGGCCGCCTTCCTGTCTTTAGCTTCAGCTGCCCGTGTCCTGCATTAGCACCCCCACTGCCTTCTCTTGGGTTCATGGTGAATGGATTATAAGCAGCTCATGGGCAATGCTCTTGTTAACTCAGAGTGCCTGAAACAGCTCTGAGCACACCAGATGCGTACAGTAAATGTTTGAGAGTTAAAGTTTATAGCAAACCCTTTGTTCAGGCCCCAGTGGGGGATGCTCAGAGGTTCTCATATATACTAGGTATGTTGACAAAAAAGGGAAGAAAACCCTGAACTCACCGCCTCCTCAGCCTGGCGCTTGTAGGCCTTGACCTTCAGCTGCAGCTTGTCCACCAGGTCCTGCAGACGCAGCAGGTTCTTCTTGTCCTCCTCCGTCTGGGGGTGAACAGGTGGCAGAAGCCAGTTTGCAGGAGGAGCCAGTGCAATCACTTCTCCCTCCCCCATCCTGCCACTCTTCTTCCCACGCCTTCGCTGCCCCTCCCTCCAATGGCCCAGGTGAAAGACGCAGTGGGAAAGACTCCATCTCTGACTCTATCGTAGGTCAAAGGGGCAAGGGAAGGCTTTCAGTCAGGGATTCAGAAAGCAATGAGGGCCGCCATCCCAAAGTTGAAAGTTGGGGGGTGGAGAGGAGCTCAGAACTCAGTGGAATTCTCTAACGTGGTGATACAGAGGCACCAGGTCTCTTCCAACTCCAGTCTGGTGGGTGAAGCACCAACCTGGAGCACCATAGGTGCTCTTGGCCATTTGTTCTTGACCAGAAGAGGAATAATGAGGAAGGCAGAAAGCAGGGAGTATTATCATAACCCAGATTATTCTATTATAGTGCAATATTCTAATACAGTGTGCTGGGCTGGAATTCAGGCACCAGGCACGGACTCCAGTGTCACTTGATCATTCCTGTCTCCTTATCATTGTATTTGCTAGGATGCCATTTTCACTTTTGTTCAGAGTACATCTGTGGTTCTGCATCTGTATTCTCTTTCCTAGGCCTGTGGTGTCCATCTGTCAAAGGGACTGATACCCTTGTCTCCTCAGCCTTTTCTTGCCAGGCACACCGACAATTCACAGGCCAAGGGCAACATCTCTGGGCCATGCAGATGGAAGTCTTAGAACTTTCTGGGATCCCCTTTCAGTAAGGCCTTCTCTTCATGTCCCAAAAGTTCATGGTGAGATCTCTGGGTCTTCGTCCCACCACCTGACTCTCATTCCTAAAGTGCTGCATGTCCCTTCCTATCAGGACCGGCGAAGGGGAAATGTTCTTTGGACTGTTCCGAAGCCTTCAAGGTAACCATTTTTTTTTTGAGTTGGAGTCTCACTCTGTCACCCAGGTCGGAGTGCAGTGGCATGCTCA